TATATATATATATATATATTTTATAAACTTTTTTTTAAAAGCATTAAGAAACTATGTGTATGTGTGTACACACATGTATGTATATAAAATTTCATCTTTAACTTTTAGAAGATAAGCTTATCTTTCTTAGCACTGGTTTTTATTTTTACACATTCAAAAAATCTTATCATGTTATGAGAAAAGACAGCTATATTTCATGATTAGATAAGGCTATCAGTAACCAATATATAGTTTGATCATGCCTATATGTATATGCTCTGCAATACTATTTATTAATCACAATCTATCCTTTTACTTTCCAATTCAGTGCTTTTCAATATGGATTCAGAAGCAACTCGGTGGAATATAGAACCTTTGGATTCATTTAAACTGAACATTATGTCCAGGTCATTGCATCAACCTCCTGCTGACGAATTACTAAATAGTAATTATACAATTTAGTTATTGTAATAGTAGTATTAGTAAAATGGTAATATTTAATTATTATAATATAAAACAAATTCCAGTGAATTAATTGTAATCTTGTGTTACGTAATGATAGTTCTAGCAGAAGGAGTGACTGCGAACTTTAAAGAGGCTTCTGTTGAGATAGTTGATTGTCCAAACTTCAATCAGTATCCCTTCAATTTTTATCGAGAAGGTACGAGGAAAAAACGTATAAGCAACCTAGAAAATTTTTGTTTGACATTTTTATGTTAAAAGATTATTGTTTATTGTTTTTCTTAGGCTTGTGTGGTAATCCAATTATTTTGGATGTTGGTGGCCCATCATATCTTTTGCCAACTGCCCAAAAGTACAAGTTTTATGATATTAAAACATTACTACAGAAATTAAATTATAATTATAATGCTCTCGTTATTGGTGCTGGTGCTGGACCATGGCCACATACGGGCTCTAATTGTGAAGTGTGTACAAGTGTGATTTTATCATTCACACACAATTTAGTAATAATTCTACTGTAAAGGTACCTTTTCATATACGCAGCCAGCGTTGCCGTGGAAGATGCTACAGAGTGACGTCACGCGATAGAGAGATAGAGAGGTACGACTCGTCGTACTTCTCCCACCAATAGTAAATTACCTTCTCTACCGCGTAACGTCACACTGTAGAGCCCCTTGCACAATGGAAGGAATAGCGATAGCGATAGAAATAACACCAGTTTTAAAGAGTTTATATCTATAAATACCGGTAAGAACAGCGGAATCTAACATAAAAATACACACGTATCAATGCAGGTCAGAAAACGGAATAAGCAATAGCGATAAAATTTCCGATAAGTTGGAATTCTGTGTCTATTGCTTATCGCTATCGCTATTCCGTCCATTGTGCAAGGGACTTAGCACCTTCCAAGGCAACGCTGTACGCAGCATACTGCGGCAGCAAAGCGTCACGTGACTCAAATTATCTAGAACTGCTTTTGCTACTATACCTCATTTGAGGCGATTTTTGGTGATCGTATGGTACGTATACTAAAGTGTACCAAACTATAATTTGAAATCACTCAAACTAAAGGTTGGGACACTTTGGTATATGTACCATACGATCCCCTGATAGCCACCTGTCTGTGTTTTTGCTGTCATGTTGCCGAAAACAAAACGCTTGAGTTTTCAGCAAATTTAGAACAAGGTGAGTCAGGTATTTGTCTTTGGTTTGACATGACACGTATTCAACATGTGTTGCCGACAACTTGCTGTATATTTGCTGTCAACGGTTTATCACTAACATAAAGAGCAACATGACAACAAGTTTCCAACAACACGTCATAAATTTCAGCAAAAATACAATATGTCGAAAACGGACAAATATATATTCAATAACACATCGCTCTATAAAAGGGGAATTAATTAATTCAAGATTTCACTCAAATTAATCTTTGGAGATCTGATTTAGTTCTCCGATCAACTGATTAACTCGATGAAAGGTACTGGACCCGGAAAAAATCCTAAGGTGATGGGTAGGATTTGAACTCGAGACGTTCATATTTGCAATCCCTGCACTCAGTCCGCAAGACTACTTGTTCCTTACTAAAATATACTTATTTTTGTCTACTTATTCTAAAAGACGGTCATTCGTTTTCGACATTTAATGGGCTACAAGATAGAATAAATATATATCAACAGTTTTTACCAACCATACGACAGAAGTACAGACATCGGTGTCTTGTTTTGTTATCGTCATGTTGCTCTTATGTTGCCGAAAACGAATGATAAAGCAAAGAGTTTTCTATAAATAAAAGTCATTTTATTGACAACGTAATGAGCAATAGTTGTTCTTTGTTTGCTCTGAATCTGCTGACACAAAATGTCTCAAATTTGCCTTCGTGTCGTCGATTACGTATGACTATGCATCATGTATTCAGCAAATACACAGCAATTAGTTGAAAACTTCAGCTCAGCATTAAGTTACATGATTTTGCAAAACATGCTTGGCTATCAGGGCCAAAAATCGCCTTTGATGCCATTCTCTGCGTTATGTTAGAATTTATTATGGAATTTCGTGTGGAATAATAATACTACATGAAATTCCATCAACTTAACGCAGAGTATGGCATCGAATTGAGTATAGTAGCGGAAGTAGTTGTAGACAATTTGAGTTACGTGATGCTTTGTTGTCGCAGCATGCTACGTATATGAAAAGGTACCTTAATATGTATGTAACAAATAATATTCACAAAATACACATTTCAGCTTATCATGAAGGTAAATATAGTAAATGATTCGATTAAGAAAGGATACAAGCATGATATGGGAGTGGCAAATGGAACACATTATGCGTTTGTACAAAAATCTACTGGTAAATGTATACTTCACCGAGTGGTTGCTAATGAGGACGAAACAACCTTTGCTTTGTTAGCTAACTTGTATATATGTGAAGGCAAACCAGGAAAAGTTATAAAAGTGAGGGCTAAAAAGCGTACTGGAAATTTGGATTTTATATCATGCATGCAAAAGGCTTTAGAGGGCCATTATGGGGATAAACTTGTTGGTAGGTTTTTCGCAAACTGTGATGTTACTTTTTGATAATATGTGATAATAGACTTAATCATTTCCGAAGTTTTGTACAAAACTCTATAACAATTGAATAAGCTCGTAAAAAAATGAAATAAGATATTGAAGCAGATGCGAGTCAAAACACAAGATGTATGTACATGTGTGATTTATTGAATATAAAAACTACAAACGATTTGATCTTTTGTTTGAATCTTCTTTAGTGTACAAACTACTGTATACAAAAAAAAAACTTATAACGCACGTAAAATAATACAAAAACTAACAACTAAGTAATGAAGTGGATTAAAAATTTTAGATACCAAAAATTTTTATTTTAAGAGATCAGTTTCCGAGATGCTCCATATAAATTAAGAAAATTCTATTAATATTATATCTGACATTGTGTGAGAAGTTCAGACTATGTTTCTCTTTATTTAAAAAATTTAAAGCTATATAATAATTGTTGCACTGATAAACTTTTTTTGTCTTGCATAACTTGCGTAACTTGTTATTTGATAAGTGTTTTTATGTTAGAAGAGATTTTACTTATACGTTAGCTCTTTGAAAGTTGACCAGTTGACATTTTGTAAACTTATAGTGTAAATTTGATGTTTTCTGGTGTTTTGTTGGGAAGCGACAAAGTTATACTTTATATTATGGCTAGTTATTCTGCTAATCTTTATTTCAATTTACTTTTAATAAAATCTATTTTATCATTTATTTTTCAGTTTTTTAATTATTTTGTATACGTTGTAAATTATTTTGTTTTTGTATACAGTAGTTTTTACACTAAAAGAGGCTCAAACATAGAATCGAAACGATTTATAGTTTTTTACATTCAATAAATTACACACACATATGTACACCTTGCGTTTTTGCTCGCATTTTACTCCAATACCCGTTTAAAAATTTAAATACAGGTTTGGGCGGTACATTTATGGTGAAAAACGGGAAAGTGAAACAACATATAATGCCGGATTTCTCAGACACTCCATTGAATACGGAGACTCAGCTTAACGAGTGGTTACGATTTTATGAAATGGAAACTCCTCTGATAGCTGTTGGCACATTTGTCAGTGCCGAGACAGTAAGTACTCGGAAAAAAAATAAATATTTAACATATAAGTACAATATCCCTGATAGGAAACCATTTACAATTATGTGACGAAATCTTGCACTAAAATTGTAATTTGCAATTATACAGACATATTTTAGGAAATAGATGCAAAAACATTTATCTTTTCTGAAGTATTTGTTTGCAAAATTACTTTCCAAAATACTATTTCGGCAAAAGAATAACGATATGGCAAATCATCTTAACAGTATATTTGCAAAATTAATTTCACAAAGAAATTGTTCAATAATTGAGAAAAGAAATTCAGCTATGATGTTTTAAATATGTAGAAATATGATTGCATATGAAGAAATGCAAGAAATCGTCGTCACTCATGATGTCATATTTGTGCAATATTTTCACAATTTGCCTATTGGAGATATATACTGTGAAAATGCATAACGACTTTTTCGCAATTTTTGACAAATATTATTTACAAAATTTTATTTCGACAAAACTGTTGCGTTATGGCGAATCATCTTAGTGCAATCATTGCAAAATCGTCGCCATTCATGATGCCATTTTTGTGCAATATTTTCACAAATGTGCCTATTAGGGATATATTTCTTTCTTTTTCTTCTTTATAATAGAAAAAACAAATCGTTGATTTTCTTTCAGGATTTAGATCTCAGAGTTCAACATTTTCACAGTGCTAACGAAGAAATTGGTTTGGGTGGACATTATCATTATGATACAACACCAGATACCATTGAGTATGAAGGATATTTCAACATGGCAGACACTCTTTATCGCGTTGATCAACCTCTTAACAAACTTCAATTCGGAAAAGATTGATTCAGCAAACTTGACTTTGTTTACATTCAACACATTCAATTTTTTCAAGCTTTTGTTACGTAAGATAATAAATTGAATATTTTATGATAAATTTCTTATTAAAAAATAATTTTATTACCTAACTACAGTATATTTATATATAAAATATATTTTTGAAAATAATATCTTGTTCTCTTTTATAAGATATGAAAATAGAATCAAACGAGGTTTGGCTGTCAATGTTTAAATATATAAAGACATTTTTTATATTTTAGCAGTGATCTTTCCTCTAATATCAACATAATAAACTTCTTTTTATTACTATAATTACTTATTAATCGAGTACACAAGCTATGACTACGACTATTAAATAGTAATTCTTGTTTGTTCTATTGCGAATTTTGCATCTCATATCTTTGGGTTTTTATTATTATACACTTTAAACTGCAGATACACACATATATATATGTATACACCTAATTTTTTCAGAAAATAGTTTTGATATGGTGAAGTATTGAGGAGTCACCTTAGGTTCTCTTTGGAAATTCCAATATTAAAATTTGAAAAAAAATAAAACAGCTATATAGAGCCCGCGCAGGATGTTGTGCAGTAAATAATTGTAATCAGAGATGTGTCAAAACGTTTCGATTATAACTCTAGTTCTTATCAATTGAGTCAGCGAAAATTCAAATTCAAACGCAACACTTTAAGATGTCAATAGCATAAATAGTTTTGATATTTCATTAGTAATGTTTCGTGAGAAAAATGACGCACAGTATTATAGATATATTTATCACAAGACGCCACATCTGCGATTTTCTTCAATCCTGCAATGGATTTTATTATTTTCACTCGTGTTACATCGAGGATTCTTTCTCTCGTGACAATCGTTCCGAATCTTCCTAGCGTCATTAATCCGCAATAATCTCTTGGTCGTTTAAGTTATATTAATTGCGAATGGACAGCGTCGCAGATGCGTCAAATGACAGTGCAAACGACAGTATAGTTGGTTCGCGATAGCCGAGTGTAGGTCGCGATCCAGTGCTTGTCCGTTTTACTGCAATGAAGTTTAGCATCGAATCCACTGCCTCTTATAACAGCATCCATCCGGCCTACCATTACACCGAGCAGTTTGCTAACAATGGCGAGACTTATCGAGATGGAACTAAATGGTACGGAGTGTTCTTGGCATTCATGTCGGGCACTTTCTTCACCATTAGCTCAGCTTTAGTCAAAGCGGTCCGTAATGTGGATCCTATGATCCTGTTGGCTATCCGTGCTCTGCTGCAAATTTTAGTAATGACTATTGTAGCTTGCAGAGTATCTTTTGATTTCTTTAATCCTTCTGGCCAAAGAATACTAATACACTTTCAGGTAAGCTTGTTCTTAATTTCCGCAAACCATAATGTGACGAAGTGCATTCAATATATGTATTCTAATCGTCTACAGAAATAATTTTGTTAATTCTCACAACACGTACTTATGATTTTTTAAAATTTGATTAAGAAGTTATAGAAATTTTTTAAATATATTCATATAATATATCAATTATCATATAATAAAATAAAAAGACACTATGTACACACTTTTAATTCAGATAATCTAATTAGTGTTACAATATATTATACAAAATATTATACAAGATATATGTCTGTAAATAAACAAATATATATATATACATATATATATCTATATATACACATCTATATATCTATATATATACATATACATATATACATCTAGCAAACAATTTCTGACTGCGCAGACCTGGCAACAGAAACTGTGTGCAGAAACGCTACAATACGGAAACATGCTTTGTGTACTGCCAAAGCTGTTAACACACAGACACAAAAAACGCAACATGGTCACCAAAACTCACCAAAATCATATCCTACTGAGGACACAGATGGATATGGATTTGATATGGCGGTTGGCGACAAAATCGCGACATCTGACAACCAAATTATTTGCTGGGCATATATATATATATAAAGAGAGAAAAAGAGTATAATAAGATATAAATATTATAATTAGGTAAATATTTAAGCGTGTGTTTAATAGTTTTATAATTTATACATACATATATATTAGTGTTTACATATATCTAGTATTTATTAAGTGTTTTTATTGAATTTACACTCTTTCTCTTTCTTCTTTCTTGAGATTTTAACGCAAGCCGCATTAATGTTTTTGTATTTTATTACTTTCTCAAATATAATTTTTTAATAAATTTGTTACTACTTTAGCCAACATTTTAAAAAATTATATGCTTTAATATGTTCATTTCAAGTTTGAAAGAATAAAAACTTAAAATAATCTAAACTGAGTGCGTAAAATGTTATTCTTTTAGTGAACGCATATTCGATTTATGTAATCATATCGGACTTCAGTTCGATATTAGTTCCGTGAAAGAAATCGCTTATCGTTCCCTCATGCGGAACTGATATCATTAACAATTATATATAAATATACTGAGTTGTGTTTTGCACATGAATGCAACTTATTCGCAGATGTTTATTAATTACCCAGCAAACATTTCGGTCACAGAACCATATCCATCTGTGTCCTCAGTAGGATATGGTTTGGTAATCATGTCTGTCAACATGTGAAATGTCAAAATGCGACCAAAATGATGACAGAGTCTGCCACAAGCAAAGCGAAGTCAAATTATCGCCAAAGTGAAGCCAAAATCCGGAATAGGTTTGGTCATCGTCTGTTGGCGCCAAATTGCAAACAGTGCGCACGTATACACGAACAGACCTGCTTGGCGTTTGGTGGCAATCTGTCGTCAATGCGTTTAACAGATCAACCCGATTTTTGTCGTAAACAGATCTCTGGTACGGTTTTGCGGACTGTTTGGTCACATTATTGCTAAAAACAGATCTGCTTGCAATCGACCATCTATTTGTTGTCAATTTCACTGACATATATAGAATCGTTTTGACCGCAATACTCTCATGTATATTGCCAACAAAGTTGTTGCGTTTTTTCTTTTTGTGTGCTAACAGTTTTGGCAGTGTTTCCGTATTGTAGCATTTCTGCAAACAATTTCTGTTGCCAAGGTCTGAGCCGAAATTGTCAAAAACAGAAATTGTTTGCTGGGTAATTACTCGTTAATTATTGGGAATCGTGCAAATTATGATACAAAATTTTTTGATTCAGTATAACTCTCTCTACCTGTCTACGAACGATGATACGGCTATTACTGAATATCTTCTATACATGAGATAATTACTTAGCTTGTTCACAGATGTTTGATATTTTTATGACGCATGCCATGTTACTGCAGTAAGCCGGAAAATACTGATATCAATGACAATCATTATTTATTCGTGACATCTGTCTTTAATCGCATTGTGAAACTTAGTTTTCAAAAAAGAACCGAAGAAAATTAAAGCGCGCACGTACACGCACGCAATCTCACACACACGCACGCACGCACACACACACACAGAGAGAGAGAGAGAGAGAGGTTATGTAAAATATAAAAAAAATTAATTCTCTATAACAGAAATTTCTAAATGTATAATATTTATAATAGGAATTATATATGTAATAAAATTTGATTACTTTATATTATAATAAAATTATTTTACAATATATTTTATATAATTTATATAATTTAAACTGTATATAATTTAATTTTATATAATTTAAAAAAAAGAAAGTAAGGTTTTTTCTTTTTTTTCAGGGTTTAGTAGGAGGAATGACTCTGTCATTGCTGTACTACAGTTTCCGACAATTACCTCTCGGTGATGCCACTACAATCATATTCAGCTCACCAGTCATAGTCATTGCATTATCTTTTTTCTTTCTAAAAGAACCTTGTGGTGTTCTGCGCATAGTGGTTGTCTGCTCGCTCTTTATGGGCGTCGTTCTCGTTGCCAGACCACCTTTTATATTTCAGGTAATTAACATCAAAGAGAAAGAGAACACTAAAATAAACAACTTTTAATCTCATAATATCCAATCAAAATTTATTCAACAAAATAATAAAAAATCCGTAATTAGCGTGTTAAAAACAACTTTACCATGTCGCAAACTTTAAAAGTATGCTGATTTAATATTCAACGAAATGGCAAGTTTTCCCGGAAATACGCAATAAAAGTTTCAGTTTTGTTAACTGTATAAATATATAATATTACAATAATTAATTACAATAATTATAATATTATAGTAATTAATTACAATTCAATAACATATAATTAATTACAGTTAATTAGAATAATTAATCATATAATTAATTAAATTATTAGTTATTTTTGTATTAAACATAGAAATTAACTGAAACATTTTAGCATAAAATATTAAAAATTTTTAAATGCTTAAGCTTTTCGAAAATTCAACGAAATATATAAGGTTCTAATAGCAGTTTGCAGAATGTTTGTGCGAAAATGTTTTCGTTATATATTTGGTTAAAAATTTTTATTTAATTAAATTTTTATTTATTTATTAAATTTGAATTAATTTTTCCACCAGATACACCACGCCGAAACTTACAATCTCTTGGGATATCTATGCGCTATTCTGGCGACTCTGTTTACGGCGCTCAATATTGTTGTCATGAGGAAATGCTCGGAAATACATTACTCTATCTTAGTGTTAAATCTATCGTGTTGGTCGTTCATTGCGTCCGTTTTTTTCTACTTCACGGTATCCGCTGGCACGCACGAAATCCACAAGTTTCACTTGCCGCATGATTGGTTTACCTGGTTTCAAATCATGCTAGTAGCATTCACCGGTCTTACGGGTCAAGTGCTGGTAACAAAGGCGCTCAAAATCGAGGGCGCGGGAAAAGTTTCGGTCACCAGGTCGTTGGATATTATTCTGGCGTATTTAATCCAAGTATACTTGTTTGGCGAAAAGCCCACGTCTACTAGTCTGACTGGAGCAATCCTCATCATTTTCTCTGTTGTTTGCATGGGTTTCGAAAAGGAGATTTATTCGTTTTGCGACTTTATTCCCTAGTTAGTTAATTCACGTAACGAGCGATCGAATCTCGTCGCTAAACGCAACTTTTGATCTTGAGTTGAACTCAGCAATAACCGAATAACTCGCGCAATTTATTATATTTAATTATTATCGACTATTCAATAATGCATAAAATATCATTGTGTACGAAAAGATGCACTTATATATCTTAATGCAATTGCATTTTTCTTTAGTCAAAAACATGTAAATTTTTCACATATTTTTCTCTAAAACTGTTTTAAATTTATGATAATTCACTACACAATGCAAATATATTAATCATTAGAATCATTTTAGAATCTTGACATCGACATCTCTAATAATAGTAACAACAATAACACAATAATAATAATAATAATAATAATGTAGTTTGTGCGATTCGTACATGTATCTATGATGATTTATTTAATGAGAAAGAAAAGTACTACAATTAACAATAAACCGCTATACCACAAGTTTAAAATAATATAATTATGTACATGTGTTTTTTTTTGCGTATCTACTCTTCGTCCTCTTAATGAAACGCACGCAAACGCGCGGTCTGATTAATATCGCTGGAAAATGGACGCTTATTTAACACAATATGTGCTTGTAAATCTATATATACCTCAAAGCTTAGTTTACATTTCAAAAATGATATACGTAAAACATACACGTATACTTGTATACTTTTTTTCACACATGCGTTCATATTCAATTTTTTTTCTCAGATTCTTGAACTTTTTGTCGAATCTTCTTTGTGCAACATTTTATTACACTTTGTATATTCTAGTCTAATCTTATATATTTTACGTTCTATCTCTCTCTTATAATTAGAAAGAAGTCATACAATTACTTACATTATTAGAAGCAATTTCTCTTGTATATACTATTTTGCTTTGCCCGTTTTTCTCTATTCTTTACCTTACATTTTAATTATTTCAGTTTTACATCTTGTTGCACTTTTATGTTATATTTCCGATACGTCTTGTGACTTTATCTGTGATAATCGCACCTATTGCCTTTGTCACATAAAACAAATTTGTTCTGAGAGCCGAAAATGCACGATTGAGAATACATCATCATGATGCAACATATATGAAATTTAGTTTTCTTTCATCAAGAAAGAAGACAACACGACATTATTTGTGTAATTCTCACATCAATATGCGTGTGTGTGTAAATATATGTATATATTTACATCTATTACTCCAATAATGTTTCTTTTTTTACAAGGGAGTCATATAATTTTTGAAGAATCTTGTACAAAATGAAGAACGCATTATACAATTTCACTGTAATTCTTTTTACACTTTATATCAGATATATAGATTAAAACCAGTATATTCTGCTTACATTCTTGTTTTATGTAAAAAATGCGAGAAATGTTTTTTTTATGATTGTCGCATTTTCATTATCAATATTCAAGAATTTTAATCTCAGCGAAATAATACTGATTTCAATCTCTTTTCCTTCCCTCTCACACCTCTCTCTCTCTCTCTCTCTCTCTCTCTCTCTCTCTCTCTAGAATTTCCATTTGTGGATAGTACTACAAAAACTTTGGCCAGTTTTATCATAATGTGTATCATAAAATTAGAAATGTTACGATATAATGAAATGCTTCTTTAAACTATAAAGATCAAATAAAATCATGTTAGATAAAAGAAATTTTGTCACCGGTAAATTATCTTAATGCAATTATTTATTATTTAATCCTAACAATTCCTAACATAACCTAACCTAACCTAACAATTAATTAATATCGATAAGTTTTAATCAATTTGAAATTCTAAATTTGACCGAATATATCTGAAAAAAAAAACATAAATTGACTATACAACTTTTTGTTCAACTCACATAGCGTGTCTTTAAACATTATAATTTTCAAAACTTTATTTTTTTATTTTTTTTTTAAATCAAGATTTTAAATGTGAAGTTCGAAGTTTTCGATGTAAATCTTGTCTCATTTCACAATATCTACAAAACGTTTCTTTTGTATTTACTCTCAGTTTTATTATTTTCATCTTTTAGTGAAGTAATCTTTTACTTAAATGCAGTGGAAGCTAGTTTGTGCAAACCTTTTTTATCCTTTTATATTGGATCTTATCTTAAGTCGAAACGACTTAAGATCCAATCTCTGTTATATGAACAAATAGTTCGTATCATAGAAACCAATAGTCTGTATAATAAAGGTTGGGTTATCCAAACTATCTTGTCGCCCGATCGGTTTGGATAAAGGAGGTTTCACTGTATCTCTTTTCTATTAATTTCTCTTTTTTTCCGAAAAAGTAGAAGTGAAATTGCGCGGGCACTACATGCCCGCTTAGTCCTATCATCACAGTGAAATATATACATATTTTACCGCAAACAAATGTTTTGAAACTGTGCAGTATGCAAATTTTTGTCATATTCAAAATATGTTTTGATTACAAAAATAGGGCACATGCATTTGTTTTTTCATTTTCTATTTTTGTTTTTTTTTTATATAGAAGTATAATTGCTAATGTTTTTTTAAAGTAAGCTTAATGCTTTTACTTATAAAGTTACACTTTTTTGTTAAGATTGATAAAATATTAATAAGTTTATTCGTTGCTTACATTTGAAATTTTTTAATAAAAAGAAAATGAAATAACCCACATAGATATAATGTCTATTAGATGTCTAATGAATGTCTATAATTCTATGTGATATTTAATGAAGGTTTGTATAGAAAGTTGTAAGGTAAGTCCAAAAAGTGTAAGCAACACGAACAGGCTTATTGAGGCATTATTAGTGCAATTTTATACGTAAAGACATCTACCTGTCTGTATGTATATCAGTAATCAAGCTAGTTTTTTGTTTTCTCTTACACGTACACTCAATATTCAAAGTTCTATAATCACTCTATTATACACAATGTGTCTTTCTATCAGTATTATAAAGTTAGTCATATATGTCTTATACAGAACGAGCTATGTTTTCAATAGAGCTAAGACCTGGTTCACACAAGGCGCTTATAACGCTGCGTTAAGCGCGCGTTTTGTTAAAAAAAAAAAAAAAGACAAAAACGCGCGTTAGCGTGTGTACGCCAATAGGTAATCCAATGGTCATTACTAGGCGTTTTGTAACGCGCGTTTACAAAACGCCTCGTGTGAACTAGTATTAAGACATGATTATATATCGCAAAAGAACGAGACGTGTAAAATGTAATACATTACATGTTAATAAAAATGTTGCTATCAAGATACACCTGAATCATTAACAAAAATTATCTGATATAACTTATAAAACTTAAAAGATGAATTTGATACGCTCTCCGTTATAATAAATACTTCGCAAAAACTTTGGATATATATTTCAATTTTTTTTTTTTATAGATTCTTTCTGCATTTTAGAGTTTTTGACAGTTAAAATAAAAGACGTTACTAACTTAATAAATAAAGGCCATTGAAAATATTTTGTATGTGCGCGCGTGTGTGTGCGTGCGTGCGTGTATGTATGTGTGTACAGGGTATAAAAAGTATCGACGGCAAAATATCTTGAAAAGTAAGCATTTTAGAAAAAAGTATTTCAAACAAGAGTTGTAAAGTTTAAAAAGATCTATTTACTGATGAGTTTGACCTTGAATGGCGTCGCCAAGATCAAGTCAAGGTCATTTCAATTTTTTTGAATAGAACTCGATATTTTTTATTGCGTATTCTTGTAGCTTAATTTAAAAAAAGGCAAAATATATAAGCGATAATAAGAGCCATATGCTGGATGTTATTGCTGAAATATGTACATATACATATACAGTAGAACCTCGGTAACTCGAATCGTAAGGGAAAGGATATAAAATTCCTGGAAAGGATATAGAATTGTAGAGATTTCGTCTTATCAAAGTTTTCGAGTAAACAGAGGTCGAACAAACGGAAATTTGACTTATAGATGGTTCGTGCATGGGTTTATGTTCTTCGACCGGTAGAGGCTCAGAAAATAAAAAATAAAAATTCGACTTACAGAGACAATGTAGATATATATGTATTACAAATAAAGAAATTGTATGCGGAGTGACGCGACTGGGTACGGTCACACAATTGAGCCAAACAGCGAAACGCGGAAGCATCTTGCTAAGTGCACAAGTTGTCACTTGTTTTTTCATTGTTACGGATCTATCGCTTCGAGTTATAGAAAGTGCAGTACCAGAACTTCGACTTATGGAGATACACTTCGAGTTGTAGAGGTCAAACAAAAGTATATTCGAGTCACAGAAGTAATTTATTATATAGGTTTCTCAAGAGAAAAATTCGAGTTGAAAGAAGTTTATGTTTCAAAGTGCAGAGTTTTTGATACTAAAATGGAAGGAAACAAGCAAAAATTTTACCTTACAAAGGTTTTCGAATTAAGGAAGTTCAAGATAGCGAGGTTCTGCTATATATATTTATTCACGTGTAAATTTTACATGTGAGTTTTTGAATTAAAATTTTAATTCTTAAATTCATATAGGATGCTATATTTGCATCACATATATGAGAGACTCCGTATATCTCCCTAACTAATTTTAAAATATTGCGAAAAAAAATACCTCGGTCAGGAGTCAGGAGTTGAACCTGGAATCTCCGGCTTTCCGTGCCGTTGCTTTCCCACTTCGGCCACCGAAGCACAAAGTGATGCAAATATAGCATCCTATTAGAATTTAAGAATTGAAATTTCAATTCAAAAACTCACGTGTAAAATTTACTCGCGTGTGTGTGTGTGTGTGAGTGTGTGTGTGCGTGCGTGCGTGCGTGCGTGCGTGCGTGCGTGCGTGTGTGTGTGTGTGTGTGTGTGTGTGTGTGTGTGTG